AAGGCTTCTGTGACTGTAGCTGCATGAACGGCGACATTTTTTCATTATACAACCTGATTTTGCAATTAAAATTTGTACCTAGAGTATAGGATTCATTAAATCCAATCATTAATAATTTACATGCACATAATTTAAAAAATCAATTACATACTTCCATGACATTCCTCATGTGGTCTTTTCTTCGTTTTCGAGCCATTTACGAATTATGTTCTCATGTTCCGTTCTGTAATCTTTACTACATGTTATGTTTAAATTACTTACATGTACAATAGGTGGCCAAAAGAATATGTACATGCCATAATACCAACCCGACCTCAACGTGATGGGATCAAACCCCTGCAGCCATGCTCCAACTTCTAGTGGACATCCATTCCATGAGAGTGTAAGCTGTTATAGCAGCAAATAGATGAGCAGCTTCTTATTAATGTCAATGGTTTTGAAATTAAATGTTCAACAAGCTCATTTGGGAGTGGTGTTTGGATGTTCACTTACTTTTGACAGTGCTGTGTATTTTAGACCAGATTACAGCCAATATTATGGACACCTTGCAATTTATTAACACTTCTTCCCAATATCTTAACAATTGAGGTTATCAGCTGATCGAGCACATTGCTGGTGCACATCATAGGTTTGGGAAACGAGAACCTAATCTGGTTCCCGAATGAATGACTTTTGTGAGATGGTTCCTTTTAGTGAAACACAAACATACAGATCAGTGTAGTCCCACTCCAGAGCAAATTACTCGAGACAATTCTTTTTAATGAATCAAAAACATAAAGAGCAACTAATGTAGTATGATTCGTGACTGAATGATTATCATTAGTCAGTTCTTTTTAGTGAAGCAACCACATTAACAGATATTAACTTTAAGTGGACATTCCATATTCCATATTGTTTTTATATAGTTATATGTTTTTATACAGTTTTATATAGTTTTATGTGACCGTTTCATCAGATTTAGCTCAATTCTTTGTACAAATTTGTCTCCAAACTATGGTTAAGTAGCTCATATACTATAAATTAGTGGCTGTTATGAGACAATATGCAGTTAAAGATGCACATTATGAGATGTGCCAGTATTATGAAATATGTTACTACATTTTTCTTTGTTCAGCATTGTTGTACAGTATAATGCCAATTATTGGATTGCATAACAGCATATGTTTCCAACGCTGTCCACATGGTTTTAAGGTTAGGTTAGAGCATGTATCGCACCATATGAACGTTATGCTGATAGCACATTATTTTCCTGACAAGATGTGCTACCTTAATTTTGAACACATCTCACACTGTGATATTGCATCCAACAGCTTCAGCTTCTCTCATGCCTCACATGTTCTACAAATGTTTTAATTTAAAATATGCCTGTTATAACTGCACACACATCCTGAGCAGGTAGCACACATTTTCAGACCAACACCTCTATAGAGACTGAAAAGTCATTAAAACATTTGTGTAAACATGTATTGCACGAATTCAATTTAAATGTATTTATTATTGAAATTATGAAACTTAAATTCTTTTCCCAAATATTTATTCCATACAAGTAGTAAAATATCGATTAATGGAACCATTAAGGATCCAGATTTGTAATCTTTGCGATTTCCATCCCCAATCATGATGCACCACCGTTTTGGATTATTAATGGATTGCTCTGTGTTTTGATGTGTTTTCTTCTGCATGCTCAGGACCATCTGTTTTCTGCTCCACTTACATACTATGGTCTGCCTGGAGTTATTCAGCACTACATTCCTGCAGCTTCCCCTCCACAGTGCCCCAAGCAGTACTCACTGTCAATGCCAGGGCCTAATTAGGACACCGAATCTCTGTGCAGATCCCCACGTCTAGGTTATCCTCAACCATTCAGTAAATTTTTGTAGCAAGAGAATAACGCTATATCATTGTCCGCTATTAGATTTATGTGGGTAAAAGCTTAGACATTATGGGATATGGTCAAGAGTGCTATCATGTTTTTCCTTTGTATCCTTCATTCTTTCAACAGGATGTGAACTGAATCTCTCTATGCGTCTGAGTAGCTGGTCAAACTGAATGAACAATGAAAAATGCATGTTATTGAATTATTGATCATGCGTGGTGTAGAAAATTATGGCCTGTATTGATGATATCCTCAGCCACTTTTTGCTCTCTTGTGATACTGTTTATTTTAGTCAATATGTCAAACCTTGCACTTAGTAACAAAACGTTTTAGCCCTTAAAAAAATAAATGTGCATCTTTAAAATCTTTTTTTTTTTGACAATTCACAAAAATAGAAACAAATAGAATACAATAAAAAATAGCTTTATCTTTTCTGGATGATGCTGTTTTCTGCATTGTACTTGCAAAGACACACTCACGTGTACTCTTGGCATGAACAAACATCAAACAGATATCTTATGCATTCAAAATGTCCAAAATGGGTTGTGTTGCCTGATAATCTCATCAAAAGCCATGGACACAAAACCTTGCGTTTTGCATACCACTTCATGTCAGTTTAATGCATTTAAACATGGTGCATAAATAATGAGGTTTATTTAAACCACAGTAAAAAAAATTATGTTAGTATAACAGCATGCAGGCTAAGAAACTGCTGTATCTTCATCTATACAGTAATAATCAGCAGGGTTCCTCTATATCTTCTTTAATTCATTTAATCAGCGCTCAGATGCTGTGCTCTCAACTCTCAACCCTAAAATTCAATCTAGTGGTTAAAGGGATAGTTCAAACAAAAATGACAATTTTGTCAACATTTACCTACCGTCATGTTGTTTCAAACCTGTATGACTTACTTTATTCTGTGGAGCACAAAAGAAGTGATTTTGAAAAGTGTTGGAACTTAAACAGTTTCCGTTCCCATTGGCCCCCGTATGGATAAAAAATACAATGGAATACAATGGGAATTGAAACTGTCTGGTTACCACCATTCTTCAAAATCTCTTCTTTTGTATTCAACAGAAGAAAGAATGATAGAATTTTCATTTTGCGTGGAGGACTATACCTGGGTTACGGAAAACCACCTTTAGACATTTAGTGACAAAATGTCTTTCCGAAAAAAATCAAAATAATAAAACTCCATAAAACAGTTCTAACCGATTTTAATCCAGATTAATTTGACTCATTTTCATACATGTTATATTCAATATGATGTCTAACCTGACTAAGTTCTATACCAAATGGGAATGCAGTGATTTATTTACATAGATTACATTTGTGTGAAACTCAGCACGGTAATTTGAACTGAAATTCATTGTAGATGATGCCTTGTCATTATTGATTAAAACACTGCAGCTGCTGCATTTTAAGACAGAACAATGTCCAAATCAGTGGGTCCTGATTTAATCCAGGGAATGTCTTTTTTATTTTTTTTGAGGGACAGTTAGCACCCTCTCTCCGGTACAGGCGGACTCAATGTAGAGCACATCCCACTCATCCATAAGAACTAGGCCTGCACTTAAAGGAGGGCGCCAGTTTATTTTGGACCCGGACATGAGATTAATTATTCTGTTCAAAATATTTCCAGTGGTTAATCAGATATGTACAGAAGTCACTCTTTCTGGAAGATTTTGCAGCTGATCACTTTGCTTTAGTTTTAGCCTTTAATGCCCTGGTGGTTAAATTCCAGGAAACTGCAACAACATAGCAGTATCATACTGCAACACTGGTTTGCCTAAACATTTGAAAAGGTCATTAAAAGCAAATTAAACGAGGTCTATAACCTCATTCCGCCACCATGATATCAAATAATTGCTGAAAATTAATCAAAGATTCTGAGTCTCAGTGGACTCAGTGGAGTTAATGCTTAAACAGTGCTTTAAGTTATATCATGAATAAACACATCACCTGCATGCTTCAGTACACTGCCAGTGCTGTGAGAGTCAGCTGAGATGAAGCATTTATCCTTAAGCAAACACATAAGAGTTGAGGTCAAAGGTGTGGAATGTACAGCTGTACACTTTAAACTGCTCCAGTCAACTTGATTAAGTTTTCCAGCCTCGTAAACAAGTCCACTCTAAAAAAGAATGAAAATATGCATGTAAAATGTACACATAAGCTGAATTATTCAATTACGTTACCTAATATTTTAATTATAGGACGCCCGGGGCTAGTTGTCACACTTTTTTACTCCAGTGAATAATTCTCAGAATGATGTGTAGGCACATACCTAAACATTGATGCTGCAAAATAAAAAATAATAAATTAATAAATAAAAAGTTAAGACATGTTGAATAGTAGAGCATGTTGTCATAATGGGAACACTGGGAATACTGGTAATAATGGTACAGTAACTTAACATGACACAGCAAATATTTAAAAGGTAATATACAAAAACATAATAGTTATATATATTTGGCCAACTTAAATTGAATTGAATAAGTTAAAACATTGTAGACACATGACATCTTCACTTGACTTGACATTTATCAAAAAATTAAATAAAATGAACAACAACTTTAGTGTCACTAAACATTACTACAGATCCAACTTAATGGTAAGAAATTGATTCCAAGATAAAGTATCCTACAAAAAAAAAATTAAGATTTTACAAGAAATTTCTGACTCATTGTAAACAAATAATTGCATTCCCATATAGAGTTCAAAATTAAACTTTACTTTATCTTTCAAAGTAAAACGTATTTTTATGCAGCTTTTATGCAAACTATAACCTCTGTAGACTGGAAAATATATTTCTATAATATATATTGTATAATATTTGACCGTCCTTGTTACTGTGCATTTTCCTTCGATTTGAAAAACGATTTGACAGCGAATCATGGCTCTCCTTTCAGACAAGGGTCTCACTTCAATGGCAGGTGCTAATTGGATGGCATGTCTCGCGTAATAGCTCTGGGTAAGTGGGGCCCCTCGCTCTCCATTTCGGCTCAAAGCCTCCGTAGACTCTCGCTATCTTTTACAGTATCGTGTAGCCGTAATGGCGCTAGCTTCCACATGCAAGAAGGGCCTGTTTATTATGGCTGGAGCTCCGTCTCTTCCTCTCGCTCGCTGATTGGCTGTGCTACTTCAGAAGCGAAACGCGATTGGTTTAGAGACCTGTCAATCGGACTAGCAATAGACGGGTACCCAAGACGGCAGGGTTGCGCGTGTCTTCCCAGGTCCTGGCAGCACCATCCGGCGAGGAGGTGAGGACGCTGGCCGCCTGTTTTATGACTGCAAGGAACACTGGATGTTTTTATTTTGAATTCTTCTTCACTGGATATACATGCCCACGATTTTGAGCGCGAGAAAGCGACACGCCGGTGAACGAGCACATCGTTATCGATGGGGAAAATAAGTTGAAGGCTTCGGAAGAGTGTTTTCCTTGTTCCAGGAAAACGGATTGCTCTGTTGAGCAGCGTGATGGGTGTTTCGAGGGGATTTTGACATTTGGAGAGGATCTGGGGCTATCCATCTACAGCTTCGGGCTGGAGCGCAAATGAAAACGGCAACAGAGCGCCATTCTGCAAAACAAGCTTCCCGGATCGATACAGTGTAGCAGTCTTTTCGCACGGGAGAATTGCGCGTTTTCATGTAAATGTAAACAAGCTGGCGAGCAAGTACCAAATCAGCAACGGTGGCCTGATTGAGATCCACGTAACTTCTGCAAACTGCATGCAGCCCTGGCGGTGGAAACGGGGCTGGATGAGCCCAAAATGGCAAATATGAATGTTGCATTTCCGCCGTAACTTGTACTAGTCACCTAATTTCCATTTCCATACAAGCCCGAGTTTCGAGCGAAGCAAGGTGCTCCTCATGCCGCCAACATGAGGGAGATTTAAGGCCGTGCGGAATTGATTTATTATGGGGGGAGCGCATTATTTTGATTTGATCCCTCTCTCCTTTTTTACCTTTCTTTTGTTTACCCTCCTCGAGAGGTTTCTTGGATGTCCGAGATTGTCATTTTGCTAGTCTGGAACGTATAACGCGAAAGATCCTCCGAAGTAGGTCAGATCAAAGCTGGAGAGTTGTTAGTATGACACCTTTTCACACTCATCTTGATGTATGGCGGACATTTATGCTTTGATTTGACCCGTCGTTTGGCTCGATGACAGCCAAATGAGAGTTTGACATCTTGGCAGCCTCCCTCTCCATCTCGTTCGCCTCTTTGTTTTGTTTTTCCACCTCTCATTTCGGGCTGTTGGGTGAGTGAATGGCTCTGTGCGGAACGACGGCTTCCAATGCCGCGAAAATGATGGCTGCGTACAACGGCGGCACCGCGGCAGTGGCGGCGCATCACCCGCACCATCACCACCAGCTGCCCCATCTCCCGCCACCCGCACACCTCCACCACCATCACCACCCGGGCCAGCATCACCTCCAGCACCCCGGCTCGGCCGCCGCGGCGGCGGTGATGCTGAACCCGAGCCAGCAGCAGCCGTACTTCCCCTCGCCCGCTCCTGGACAAGCTCCGGGGCCGGCGGCCGCTGCAGCCCCAGCGCAAGTTCAAGCCGCCGCCGCGGCCGCTGTGAAGGCGCATCACCACCACCACCACCAACACTCGCATCACTTACAACAACAGCTGGATATAGAGCCGGACAGACCGATCGGATACGGAGCTTTCGGTGTGGTTTGGTAAGCGTTTAAATACCATTCTAACAACTTCTGCAAGTGAATGTTGTTAATGAGCACGCGACTTTGAATTTGACTCTAAAAGTGAACGCAGTAATTTTTATGTAAATTGAAAAGTTTTACAAATTAAGACACTTTTGGGAAGCATCATTAAAATGATGTAGGCTACACTCTCATGAGAGGAAGTCTCAGAATTTTCTAGACAAAAAAAGCTGTTATTCCACACAGAGCTGGTCTCCTCCTCATGGGTGCCGCCATGTTAATGTCACATGACCAACTGTGGCATGCAGTTGACTACCATTAATAACGACAATATTAATGTTTACCCAACAATTTATTGAAAAAAAAAAACTATTTTACAAGATCGCGATTTGAGCGATGTGGTTCATACGGAAACTTAACACAGCACAAAACATAAGCATGATAATCCACCCCAACCCCACCTCTGATTATGTACAAATTAGTTTATATGAATTAAACATAAAATAGTTACAAATTGCCATGAGAGTGTTGGTTTACATTAGAAAGTGCTTTAATAGAATAAACATTAAAGTACCAACAGCAAAGAACTGATGGCATGGATCAACGTGTTTACGATCCGTCAAACAGAATAAGTGGACAAATAGCGTATAAACAGACAGTTGCCCATTGCAACAAGGAAGAACAAGCTAAACCTAAACCAAAACTTACTGAGTGCACCTTTAAAGTGTTTCACCTGTCAGGCTTGTTGGGAAGGAGAGGTACTGTATTTTTAGATTTCTGTGTGACAGTTCAAGAGGAATGAGGAACAGCTTTTGGCAAAGAATTTAAGATGTACACTAAGGGAACATCGCTGTGCTTAAGGGATAAGCCTAAAATAACTTAATTCAATACTTAAATGCTCAAGATTTAGTTCATGTCAGTTTGAGTGTCTTGAGAATAGTTCCTAACCCAGGTGTTACCAATAGATATTGAACATTTGGTTGAGTGTGTGGTTGAATCTTATATATTTATGTATAATGCAGTTACATTGTCAAATGCCTAGTGAATAACTTTGGTATATCCGGTTGGTTGCTTATTAAAACGTTTCTTTCAGCCGCAACAAAACCAGTTCACAAGGATACATCTCCAGTGGTGTACAATTCAGACCAGAGATGAAAAGTTGAGTAAAACGGGTAATGCCTGAAGGAAGGAGAGAGTGCATGTTCTCAGAATGAGTTTGTAACTCAGAGGAAATGCAATATCCTTTTAAGCACACACCCTCCTGTCTTGGCTTCTGTTCAGAGGTTAATTTCTTGGGAGAGCAATGTATTAGACGCAATAAACTTAGCAATAAATTAACTAAATGAAATGGACAGTTTTCATTCTCTGACATGTTAGTTCTGTTAGTACTTATTCTAGCATATATATAGGCTCTGTGTGTGTTTATACACAAAGGAATCACCTGTAACTGGTGTCTACAGAGGGGCCACAAAACTAGGGGAGCTTTCACCAACAGCCACCCTGCCTACCTCCACCCATGTAATCTTAGCCTGACCTTTCCTCGAAATCGCTTCCTGTTGCTCATTGTCTGCTTTTAATCTGCACTGTTGCCTGCTGGTATATTTATAGCTGTCCTCCAGAGGCACGACCATAGAGGAATAATCATATAGGATTTATACCCTCTGAAAGGGGGATGAGAAGAACCATGGTTATTTAAAGAGAGTTCACGAAAAAATTACAATTCTGGTTTCATGTTTACTGTACCTCATATTGATCCAAACCTGTATGACTTTCTTTCTTCTTTGGAATACAAAACAAGATAGTTGGACAAAATGTGCTGGGTACTCTTTTCCATCTTATTGTAATGAATGGGGACTGGAGCTGTAATGCCTCAGAAAATACTCAAAAGCATGACTTTCAGTGCATAATGGCTTAAATTTCAGTATGTGTCACACAAAGTTATTGTTTGGTTTGAGAATACTTAAAATAAAGTCATATGGTCATATTTATACTTTATGGTGTTTTTGCACACTTTTTGGAACAGCAACAAGTAGTATCGTTCAAAACATTTCAATATTGATAACGATTCCTTGACTTCGATACCGGTTCCTGAACAATACTTTTTTCGATACCAATTGTATAAAATCCATTTTAACAAGATTACATTACACATTACCTAAAAAAACTTTGGTTTTATTTTTTCAGCTTGTTGATGTGTTGACAAGTGTTTTTTGCTAGTTTCAGCCCGACGCAGTTATCATTTTCACGTTCTGCGCCACGTTGTTTAAATAGCAAATGCAATTGCGCCCATGGCAAATGCTGGTCTGAAAAGAGGTGTGTTCAGGCGCATTGTTGGCGCTTTGCTATTTTGAGGCAACTGAAATAGACTGCACCTTTGACCGACTGAAACCTGGCTTAAAGTCAATGGCGCAATATTTTTTTTGTCAGTTAAAGAGCGCGTTAGTAATATGCGACTATAGAGACAGAGCGACACGTGTCATAATCTGAAAACCATGCCCACCGGGTGGGGGGGGGAACAATCCAACGCTCTCCATTGACTTTCTATTGCGGGAAGCTGCCTCCTTGTCATTTCTAACTTATAACAAAAAACAGAGCAATGCCTAAAATCTGCTATGTGACAAGGTGTAAACAAGCTAAAAAACCCAGAACTACGTTTTTATAAGCTGTCGACCCAAAAAACGAGCATTTAGGACACAAAAGTAGAGCGCAACATGTCATATTACTCTGAGAACTGCGCCCACTGGAGGGAAACATAATCGGCAGCAAGACCATTCATTATTTTTAACCATGTCAAAGGATTATTTCACCACCCTATGTGAATCTGAGAGGAGGAGATATATTAAGAAACAAAATTTTATTGGTCTATGTCAGTGCCCCTTTTCCTAACCTTCCTTTTGTTTGAGAAATTATCCAACTGAACGGCCCAACGTGAAATACCCCGACATCTACAACTGTTTGTGTCCTAAATGCTTGTCTTTTGGGGGGTCGACAGCTTATAAAAATGTAGTTCTGTTTTTTTTAAGCTTGTTTACTATACACCTTGTCACATAGCATATTTTAGGCATTGCTCTGTTTTTTGTTAAAAGTCAGAAATGACAAGGAGGCAGTTTTCCGCAATAGAAAGTCAATGGAGAGCGTTGGATTGTCCCCCCCGGTGTGGGCGTGGCCTAAATGCACTCGGTCTCTATCCACCTTTTTCTTGCCGTAAAAATGGGCACGTCCGAATATTTTTAGCTGTACAAAACAGTTAGTTTTTTCTGCTTGATATTGAAAATTGGTGTCTTACCATATTATTTTAATGTATTATCTTAATTATGAACACACTAGTTTGTAGTGCAAACAGTTTTACAGTTTACTGCACGTTGCTATTCTTCTCGTTATTTACCTATAGCAGCTAATGAACCGGAAGTCTCGCCCATAGGCTTACTTCCGCGTTGAAGAAAAACGGTGGATAGGCAGGTGAACAACGTGCGTACACTCTGCTTATTACACACACAGGGGTGCGCAGCAGTGCACAGACATGCCAAATATTAAAAATGAAAGGATTACAATATAAAAGATTACTATTGTGCCCCGTAGATGGTCTGCTCGCACGCTTTAACCTCGCAGAACTTTTCCTCACTGGAGAAGCGTTCAGTCTTTGCTCTTGCAAATTCCGCCATTCCGGACGTTCGAATAGCATATTTCAGTAACATTATATTTCAGCCAAAACACACATTAGATTGCGATCGTAAGTTATTACAAGCACTACATGGTGGTAAACTAGTAGGTGTGTTCGATGTGAAGAACAGTCAGGCATTGTAGTCTACTCTACCAGGATCAGGAAACAGTCCTCCATAAAATGTGCTGCACACATCTGAATATTTGGGTTGATCTGTTCTGGAACAGTGTTGTAAATACAACTTAACCACTGATTTCTAGTCGTGTCCTCTTTTGGAAGACCAAACAAAGTAGTTTTGCTTTCACAACGAAACACAGCATCACACACGGCGGACTAGAGTGAGCGGAGGCCGGTGGGCTTGAGAATGGCGCAGCGGGCAGGCTTGCGGCAACCACATGTGACAACCCCGGGCTGGACTCCGGTTCATCCACGGTGAAAGCCAATCCGGCGATCCACAGCGCGAAGTTGATATATTTCTTCAGCGACCAGCACGGATCAGCTCTAGGCATGACGAAGCGGATATCGTCCTCTTTTGGAAGACCAAACAAAGTAGTTTAGCTTTTACAACGAAACACACAGCACCTTCACGACATGGTGGCGGCGGCAACAACAATACTACAGCGAGAATAAAAGTTACGCCGCCTTTCTTTGCATGAATTTATATTTAAGTTATGCAAATCTTCCCAGATCGTGACGTAGACATGTGGGAGCGTGTTAGAACGAGATGTTTTAGGTAGGCGTGGTTGACTCTTAACTTTTATAAAGAATATCTGTTTGGATTTGAGACTCTTAGTCTTTGCAACTTTACAGATCTTCTTGTAACACTCCAAAGAGAAAGCAAAATTTTTAATCGTATCATATGACCCCTTTAAAATATCTCCTGTGAAGAAAAATAAGTTTAAGTAAATAATTACAGAAAATGTATGCTTAGTTGAACTATTTCTTTAAATATTTGTAGTATATCTATACATCACAGGAAGTGAAGAGGAGGAAATTTACCCACCTATCATTGCACATAACCCAAGTACTTCAAAGAAGTTTTACTCTCTTTGTAATTGTACACTGTTGTTCGCGGGATGTGAGTTACAATGCAACGATTATGATTATCGTTAAATAAGATAAAATATAAATCTAGTATAACCAAATATAACCACATTTATTTTCATATTACAACAGACATGTATCATTCAGCTAGTGCTTTTATATGATATGTATAAATTTTTAATCGTATCATATGACCCCTTTAAAATATCTCCTGTGAAGAAAAATACTCAAGTTTAAGTAAATAATTACAGAAAATGTATGCTTAGTTGAACTATTTCTTTAAATATTTGTAGTATATCTATACATCACAGGAAGT